TTTTTTTTTTTTTTTCAGAACTGGGGATTGAACTCAGGCCCTTGCACTTGTCAGGGAAGCACTTATTCTACTGAGCCATCTCCCCAGCCCCTTAGATGTTTGTTTTGTGGCTATCACAGGACAAATGAAACCAAGTAATATAACTTATTTTAAACTGATCTAGACTTAATTTTAAAGCTATAGAGCAAAAAGAACAAAAAGTAGAAGAAAGCTGTATACTTTTACTACTTTAGTCCAAAATTTTTAATTATTAAACCCCATTTGGTGTCAATTAATTTTCCCATCTCTTAACAAATTAATCTAGTTGGCATTTTTAGTACTTTGATCTTTTGATTGTAATCCTAAGATTATATGGTTTATGTGCCATGTTTAAATAATAACGTTCTTATTTTTTCTGTATACTTTTGAGAGAGCATTTCATACACTTATACATATTGTGGTTATATTACAATTTCTTTTAATTGACACAGCTTACTTTTGTAATACAGCTCTATTGGTGATAATTTCCATAGCTTTTGTTTATGTAAGTTTACCTGTACTTTTCCTTTATTTCTTAAAGTGAAGTTTACAACTACTTTATTGTTGGTAGACACATTTTTTGTTTAATACATTAAATGTGTCATCTACACCATCCTAGCCTATAATGTTTTTGCTATGAATCTCCTTCCTTGAAATTGAAACCCTCATTTGTATAATTTCTTGCCAATATTTAAATGCTTTATTTTTTGTTTTATTTTGGAAAGCTTAGTTATAAAATGTCTATCAGTAGACTTTTTTTGCCTTCTTGAGTTTTATCTGGCTGATAATCTTTGACTTTCCTTTCTTATAGACAATTGTATATTTATATTTGGGAAGTTCTCCATTATCTTTTTGAATTTTTTTAACTTTTTGGATTTCTCTTTAATGGTAGTATAATGAATATTTGTTCTTTTCTTCATTACCCATCGAGCTTATAATTTTTGTTCCTTTTTATTCTTTGTTCTCTTCCTGTTTTCTAATAGCTTGTTTCTAAGTTCATGGGTTCTTTCTTTTGCTTAATTTATCATTCTGTTGATATTTTACTATATTATTATTCCATTTATTTTTAGTGTAGGATTTATATTTTTATCGTTTTAATCTTTCTGTTGTTTTTATGATTAATTATTGAATTATTTCTCTTTGTTTTCTTCAGGCCTATTGTTTCTTTAAAATGACTATTTTGAATTCTCTGAGTTGATACATTTCTATAACATTAAGGTCAGCTTCTGGAATTTATTTTATTTAGTGTGGCCATGGTAACAAGGGCTGTCTTGGTGCTAGCATGCAATATCTGCATGTTGAAACATTAGGTATTTGTTCCTATCTTCATAGTCTGGCTTTGTTTCTATTCTTCTGTGACTGTATTCAGTCTATTATATTGTCTGAGTCTTTGATCCTTGCTTATATTTCAGATTTGATTGGTGAACTAAAGCAGGCTAGGTTTGCTGGGAATCTGTGGAGAGTTTTCTATGGCCCAAATGGAGTTTGTGAGGGCCTTAATAGAGTGGTTCATCATGCTGGGTCTACAGGTTTCATTATATGGTGAGGGAAGATTGAAAATCTCTGTTTTTGATCACTGGCTTGTGGTCAGGGTATGAGAAACTGCTTGACACTGGCCTCCAAGGCAATACTTTGTACCTGTTTCCTACCAAGTGTACAATAACTGCAAATTGTATTTCCTGATGTTGCAGAGGGAATGTGGTGAATTTAGCCTTTGACTCCATGGTTGTTGTAATGCTTAGTTACATGCAAAGGTGATAGTTACTAAGTCTAGCACAGGAAAAGGACAGGATGAAAGCCTACAGTCCTGGGTCCTGACTGCCACTGAGATTTATTCATGGCCCAAGGTCAGTGAAGCCAGCTGGAAATGATACAGTCTGGAAAATGAGTCTCATCAAGTCTGCAGGTGAATTCAGAGAGCCTGTATGCAGAGAGTGGTTGGTTTTAGAAGTCACTGTGACCTGTTTGGTGTTTGGTTGAATTATGTTCTGTTGCATTCAGTTTCATAACAACATTTTGTGCTTACTTGCTGTATGTTTCCCCTAGCAGAAGGTCCATTAAGTTCTGCTCGATCTTTGGTGAAGGTAGTGGAAGAAGTTCCTTGGTTATAAAGGCTGCTCCTAGTCTGGCCACACCTGAAACCTATAGCTATTGAGTGAAGCACATTCCCAGGGTATACCCCAGGTCTATACTGTGGCTGGTAGTGGTGCAGGGCAGAACACAAACCTATTTTACTTTGGTCATGGATTTCTTATCTGTTGGGCCAGTTGAAAGGCTCTATTTTACAAAATTTTTCTAGTTTCAGTGGCTGTTGGGATTTTTCCCCTTAGTGGCTTGAACATCCATTAGTATGCTTAGTATTGAGATCTAAGCTAAAAGAAGAAAACTTACAGTTCCCTCTTGTTGCCACAATGGATGGTGGGTGCACTCTGCCCTGCTTGAAATTTGGGTGATGGTAATATGGGCAATGCAACTCTTTATTTCTTACCATTTTTAATGCTTCTTTTATTGTTATGCTAAAAGTAAGTCCTGTGGTCACTCATTTGATTTACTTGGATCTTGTAAGTAGTTATATATTGGTAATTGTTTCAAGTTGATGTTACTTTGGGAACATATCTAATGTAGGCTCATATTTTGTTATTTTTCTCTACCCATCTCCAAACTTTTTTTATAACGATGAAGATTTGAATGTCAATAAGCTAAAAAAAAGCACCCAGTTGAGACAGAAAAATAGAAGATACTGGAGCAAGTCCTAGAGAATACTGTGTTGTGGTATAAAAATAAGATCACATTTGGGGAAGTTACATTTATTGAGAATGTACTTTTCCTTCTGTGATAGAAGTTAAAATATTGAAGATGGAGATATCTTTACAGATATAGATATAGTTGTTTGTTATCTGTCTCTCCAAATACAATGTGTAAGGAGATTATCTCTGTTAGTCACATGAATCTTTATTGTATGGATCAAATCCAGAATACTATATATGCATACAACTTTGTTTAAATCAATGTATATAGATGATTTGAAAATTAGAAAGAATTTGGTTAAATTTTACCTTAGAGCCATCTGTTATATTTGTAAAGTAGAAAAAGAAGTCAACAGTCAGCATGCGAGTTGGATATTATTTACATCACACTCTGAATAAATGAAATTAAAAGCGAAAGTATTTCACAGCATTTTTGATTGTCCAAATTAGCCCTAAAATTTCCCTCTCTTGAACTAGCATTATGCATACAGCTACTATACACTTGGCCAATAACGACATGTTAAATGTTAGCCATCTTTTTTTCATTATAGCATCAGGAACTTTAAGCACTTGTTTGTTTATGTTAAGATGTCCACATAGTATAAATGTATAATTTGAGATATTTGTATTGGTTAGTATTATTTTAATTATACATAATTGTAGCATAGAGTGTGATAATTACATACCCATACACATTTTGATAGCAAATTTAATATTTATTTTGTACCTTAAAACTCTTTTCTAACATAATAATGATGCCAATAGTTAAGTAAGTTTATCCATGTATAATGTTTAACTTACAAAGCCTATACATAGGGCATCTCATTTGCTTTTTCAGATAAATTATATTGTTACAATATTTTAGTGGGTGGGGAAACTGAAGCTCAGGAAGATTTCATAACATAATGTAAATTTCATAGTAAGCAAGTAAGGGCTGGGCATTTAGCTCAGTGGCACAGCATCTGCCTGGCAGCTGCAAAGTTCTGAGCTCAATTTCCAGTACCAAACAAATAAATAAGTAAATCACAGTATGCAAGTGAATATTGAACTCCAAATCCTACTGTAAACTAGATCCATGCAGCATGTGGATTTTGAGATAAATCAGAGAGACAAACTAGTAAAGAAGAGACAAACTAGGTCAGGGACAATGCTAATGAATATCTGAATCTCCTAAGCAATAATCTACAGATAAGGAAGAGACATTTTGAAGGGCATTAAATGAGCTCAGATTTGTGGATGTAAATTTTCAGGTACTAGTCATATATGAAAGAGGAGATGGCATCCTTTTAATGACACTAATCTGTTCAACAAATACATTTTCCTTGGCCCCTACTTGATACATGTATCTTTCCTGGCCAAAATTAAAGTTTTACTAATCATTCTGTTTGTTCTGTATTTCTCATTCTCATTGTAAATCTAGGTAGAAGAAAATAGTGATACTCATGTCATAGCCTGAATGCTGTGCTCACTTGAAATTTGCTTTACTAAATTAATTATTCCATTTTCTTTAAGCTGAAACCCTGCCAAAAGTTTCACAACACACAAAATTTAGGCAACTTTTTTGCTAGAATTTAACATAAATTGCCTGTAGTCTATTTCTCAATATTTCCCATCTATAACATCATGAGTATATATTTGACTGTCTACAGTCCTGTCAATATTCTGGTCTTCTCAGCTTGCTCTAGAAGTTTCCATTCCACTTGCAGCATTCTTAGGCTTCTCAATCCTGCATTATAAACCTTTCTAAAGTACTGCCACTAACTATTTCCAAAGGTTTTTATACCAGAGTGTCAGGTATAGTCACCACAACAGCTCTACTTTTCAATACCAGTTTTCAATGTTAACTTCCTCTTATTGTGACACAATAGCTTAAGTAACTAAATGAAGCAAGATGTATTTTGTGTCCGTTTCAGAGATTTCATCCCAAAGTCAGTAAATTTCATTTCTTTTAGGCCTGTGGTTAAGCAGAAACACCATGGACGGAAAGCTGTTCATATTATGCCACTTAAGCAGAAAGGGTGAAAGGAAAATGCTGGAGAACCTGTGCTGACGGACTTCCTTTTGTTCTGTTCTATCTGATCTCATATCCTGTTTGGATGGTGGTGCTGTTCCCATTGAAGGCCTTTCTTCCTCATCATTTTGCTGTCCCATATGCAAGGTATGCCTGAAAACATACAGATATTCTTGGAAGTGTGCTTTCCTAATTTACTAGGTACTTCTCAATCCAAAGAATTGATGAGATTAACTGTCACAGGATCTGTAAACAGAATTCTTTCAGAGCCTAACATATGTTTTTGTAATTTCACTGAATAACCATATCACACCTACTTTTATTCTTTAGACTATTTCTATTGGTGTATTATTAACCTTAATTTTATAAGTTTTATTATATTACACATTGAGTGCTTAACAGGAAAAAAATCACAAAACTAAAGTATTACATTTTTGATTGTTTATAAAATAGGATCAAAATTTTCAACATTGACTGAGGCTTGTGGTAAAAATCTAAAAAAAAACAAAAATAATTTCTTATATGAAATATAATAAACCTACCAATATCACTCTTCAAAAATAATCTTTAATTATCACACCTAGGGCAGTCTCCTCACTTGAAAACAGAATGTTCCATGCACACAAATTGCATGCACTGACAGCACATGTATTTACTTTCTCTTCTTTCTGAAGGACATACTTGATTTGGCAGCTCTTCCTGTTTTGTCAGGAGGCTCTTATTACATTATGCAATGTATAGTTTTTGTTTTAATTCATAGCATTTTTTATTATTATAGAGAGCAAAACCACTAAAAACAATTGTACAAAATTTCAAACTAAGATTGGAGAATAAAAATGGTTAGCACATTGCTTATTGTTATCTTCAATGTAATTGCTCAGATTACAAGATATGGACAGGAAAATTGATCAAGTGATGTAAGCACAAATATTTATTTTCAATGAATTAATAGAAATTAGTAGCACAGCTTTATTTTCCTGGGGTACTGGGGACCAAACTCAGGACCTTGTGCATACCAGTCAGGCACTTATGCCACTGAGCTATCTCCCTCGCCAAGTATAGCTATCTTAACTATCTTGCATATACATATATCTTGGAAAAGATTAAGAAAATAATCTCATTAATGATGATTTAAAAAAGAAAAACCTTTAGAAATAAATTTAACAAAGAAGTGAAATATCTATATTTTGAAAGTATAAATTATTTTTTCTTTCTGTATTTTAGGACAGGGTCTACAGGGTGTTCAGGGTCTCACTACTAGATCAGACTCATAGTGATTTTCCTGTTTTCAGCCTCCCAAGAGCTGGGATTACAGGTGTGAACCACAATGCCCAGTCTCAGTCACCATCTCAGTGCTCTTGGGGGGAGGGAAGGGGGAGAGGAGAGGGGCATGGCATGACAGGCCCAGAGATCGAACCCCTGGCCCCTGTGCTTGCTTGCAGGCACTTTGAAAGTATAAAATATTAATACAACAACCATTTCTATATTCCTGTAGTTTTGTTTGGTGAAGTTCTGTATCATTTCTAATATTCTTTTATTAATTTTATTGAGAAAAATAGCATTGAGACCGTTTCAAAACAGGTTAGTAGGACAGCTACAATAATTAATACCTTGCATATTGTTGTCTTTGTAGTAGTTATTCATAGCACAAGATGCAGGCATGATATCCTGTCCAAACATTATTAGTACAAGTCTTTCTTCTCATGCAATGAATAGTTAACAGAAACATAAAATAAAATGAAGTATTAAACGCTGAATATATATTGAGCATTTAGAATAAGCATCTACAATTTCATATTAGTGGAGAAAACCTATAAGATCAAAAATAAATTCTTATATGAACAACAATGAAAATACCAATAGTACTCCACAAAAAAAATTTACTTCAATTATCACACAGATAAAAAATAAGAACATAAGATGTCAATAAAATAAAATGTCAAATGTGTAATGAATATGCATCAACATTTTCATATCAGCTATGTGCTTGCTTACAAAACCTAAAAGATAACATCACAAATGAAAACCTATGTGAGTTTCAATGTAAACACAAAGAAAAGTCTGCCACCGGGGGTGGGGGGAACCTTTTCTTCAGCATTCACACACAAGGCAGTTTTCTGCATGACAAGTGCATGTTACATGTACATGATGCACTAATGCTGACAGTCCATGTGCTTAGCTTTCCATTTCTGTATAGTATTCCATTCTTGTCACCTCACTTTTTTACTGGTTTTGTCAGGAGTTTCTACTAGGTAGTAAAACGCACACTCAGCAGGGAAATAAAATAAATAAAATGTTAAATTTGTAATGAGTGCTTGGAAAATACATCTATTTTCACATGAGCTGTTTACTTGATTACAAAACCTGAATGGTATCATCTAAAAGAACATCTTTGTGAGCTACAATGAAAATACTAACAGAATTCTACAATAAAAATAAACTGCTTCAATATTTACATAAAAATAAGTCTTCAGATATGGAAATTGCATGTTCTATACATAAGTATTGCTCACACTGAAAGCATGTACATTTTAATTTCCTGCCTTTTCTTGTAGGACACAGTTGACATTTTTTGTTTGTTTTCATTTCTGTAGTAAGTGTTTGGGGGTGTTGCACTTTCTTGTACAACTGACAGTTCACCAGGGTGCTCCACATTTTTTATGTATCTTTTATTCTGCTGTAAGTGATCTCTTATGAGTTCTATCGCAGCCTTCTTTTTTTTTATTTTTCAAAGACTACAAATTGGTAAAAAAGAAAATTCAAAATGATATACAATTTCATTAAACAAAGTAATAGGAGTTTGACTGTGATTGTTGTATAAAATTATCCTCAAATTGTTTAGATTATCAGATACAAACCTGCAAAATTAGTTAAAAAAGTTATAAGACATCAAAAATTAGAAGAAAACATAAGTGAAATAAACCAGAGCCACATATATGAATATCATATTGTCTCCCTACTGTGAGAACTCAGAAGAAGAAATAAAAACTGAAAGGTATAGCACAATTAAATATGAAGAAAAAGAACTTAAGGATTAAACAATGAAGAGAAGAGAAAAGAGAAAAGATAGGGAAAAAGGTAAAGAGAAAAACATGGAAGTATATACACAAGAAGTCTGAGGTGATTGTACTAAGAATTTCCATCAGTTTTTTTTAAATAGTAGTTAATGCGTAGACTCCTAACTTTGACTAACTCTGTATGCTGATATCTGCGAACTAAGCAACTACATTGACGACACCAATGTGTAATACAAAAATCATGCTTTAAATACCTGTCATCTTGATCTTCTAAATGGGTACCTTTTCTAATGCCATATCAGTTATTACTGTACTCTTTTAAAATGTATTTTAGAAAAAGGTAATAAAAGTAAATGAGAGTCAAGGAAAAAAATTAGAAGAAAATAAATAAATAAGGGCCAGCCTGATAGCTCAGTGAACTAAGGTGCTTGCTTACACAGAGTGCAGTGGCCAGGTTCAATCCCTGACATGCTCTGCTGGCCATGCCCCCAGGGCATGCTGAGAGGGCAATTGAGACTGGGCATGGTGGTGCACACCTGTAATCCCAGCACTTGGGAGGCTGAAAACAGGAGAATCACTAGGAGTCCAATCTAAGTAGAGAGACCCTGTAGACTCTGTCCTAAATACAGAAAATAAATAAATAAATAAATAAATAAGATAAAGAATTTAAGCTTTAACTGCTCCTTTCAATAGACCAGCAGAAATCAAGAGTACAATTATCTGAGCTATCCTGTACAGGTACATGAACATATGTATTTTCCTTTGTTCTTTTTTCCTTTTACTCATTTCATTCTTTTCCTTCCCATTGAACAGATTCTTTACCTATCACAGTATCTACTCTACCTATCAGAATACTCTTTCGGGTTCTCACACTAGTGAGACAACATGATATTTACACATGTGGGTTTGATTTATTTCACTCATCAATATAATTTGTAGTGTCATTTATTTACCTATTAAAGCCTCAGGTTTATCATCTTATAGGTAATACTACACTGTGTAAAAGTACCACAACTTTTTTATCCATTCCTCAGTTCATGAGCATTTGGGCTATTTCCAAGATATAGCTATGACAAATTGTGCTGCTATAAACATTGGCGTACATATATTACTGTGGTATGAGATTCCCAGTTATTCTGGAAAAATACCCAGGTGGGCAATAGCGGGCTTGAGTGGGACTTCCACTCCAGTAGTCTTCTAAGAAAATTTCTGTAATATTTTGTACTTATTTTCTTTGTAAACTATCAGAGTATATGTCACACATGTTTATAACCAAGTAAAACACAAACTTTGTTCAATGCTTTGTGTTTCAAGTGACTTCATAGTTGCTGCATAACTGATTAACAATGTATACTCCATTTTTGGTTCTGTTGTAGAAAGTTTCCATCTCAACCTTCTGTTTTGTTGAGGTTCCTCTATCAGTATTTCCTCATTAGTGCAATTTTGACATCAGGAGTAAAATATTACAGATTTTCAAAACAAGAATAGCTGATTAGCAATGAATGATACATCATTTTTATCTTCAAATCTATTGCTCAGATTAACATATAGTTATGTAAGACTGGACACACAGTTGAATATTACAGAATGCTTTTGAGAAATCTTAAATTTTGTTCTTGTCTCTTTTATTACCTTTTTTCTAAAATATTTACTATAAACATGGCATAGTAATAATTGATATGACATTACAAATTGTACACATTTAGAAGACCAAGATGACAGGTAATTCTAAGCATAGTTTCCATATTGCACATTGCTGTCCTCAATGTAGTTGCTTAGCCAATGTAAGACCTTTTCAGTTCCAAAGATTATACTATGCAATTCTTAGTTTTAAAATTTCAATATTTCTTCTTTTTTAGTGACAAAATTTTATTGTCTTTCTTTTTTTATTAATTTTAATGAGAAAGAAATAGCAATGAGACAGTTTCAAAACAGGTTAGTAGGACAGTTACAATAATTAATACACTGCATAGTGTTGTCTTTATAGTAGTTATTCAGAGTACAAGATGTAGACATGATATCTTGTCTAAACACTATTAGTACAAATCTTTCTTCTCATTGAGCTATTTTGCTAAATTCAAGCACCTACAATATTTGAAAGGCAATGAAACACCCATCTCTGAC